TCCTTATTCATTAAAACAAAAAAGTCATCATGGCAGATTTTCTGACAAAAAAAGTAGAAAAGACATTTGTCAATTCAGAATACTGTTTATTTTTTTTTTTTTTTTTGTTATTTAAAGAAAGGTATTTTGCTTGCAGGAAAGAAATACTACAGATTCATTTTAAAGAGAATCTTTTAAATGTATTTATCTTTAGGGCATCTGGGCATCTTTACGCTGTTTGTCTTATGTCTTTATTGAAATAAAATGTACATAACATTACCTTTATATATATATATGCTTTTGCGCAGACGTGTGAACCCCAGAACTATCCCCACCCCTCCTGTTTTTATGCTAATATAATGGATACTCTTACAGATTTGAAAATGGTCAGTTTGTTTTTGAGTTGCTGCAAGATTCTCCCACAATTTTTAAATTATTATTTTTTAATCTCCCTCTCAAACGTAAATCTAAGAATTTTTTAAGTTAATTTAACAATGAACTCCTCTTCAGAGTGGAATTTCTTCCAAATTACCATAAATAATATGTTATACCGTATTAGGATTTTTTTAATTCATTGCTAAATAAATCTAGCATAATGGAACTACCTTGAATAAGTTAATCATGGACATTCTCTGTGACTCAATAAAATGGTACATGGTTACCACCGATTAGAATCATTTTCCTAAGCATTTGCGTTCTAATTTACGCCATTTTGAGTAAAACTATTACAAAATTGGTATTTTTGGTTAAGGCAAAGTACACATTTCATTTTATACATGTATCTATGTCATGATTTCAGATCACTGAGGAAAATTAGAATGTGAGATATTGCAATCTGGTTTCTAGGAAATGTAGGGAAAATTGGTGATTTGGTACTATCTAGATGCACAACAAAACTAATCTATATAGACTGCTCCATAATACATATTAAATACTTGAATGTTAACATGCTGCAAATCTGATTTTTATAATTATAATCCTGCTTTGCTGAGAGAATGTGTCTTTTTAAAAAAATTAAGCTTCTAAAAATGTCAAATACTTCTGATCTACGTAATCTTTTCATCTAGTTCCCTTAAATGTAATCAGATTTTTTTTTCCTGTTTTTCATTTTATTGGATTCTATGATGGGGTGGAATGACAAGGATTAAGTACTACTCTGATCTTAGAATATCATACACAGCTAATTACAACACAAAATTATCGCTGATAACTGGGAGGGGAGGGGTTGGGTGTACAAGGTATTCAGGCTTGGGCCCTTTTTCAGTTACTTCACTATTATGCAATTAATCTTGTAACTGGATCACTTACTCTAATTTTCTTATTTTTAGAGAATTTATCAGAGGCATACCATAACATCCTCTTTCTACTGTAAATTCTTGGTGATTTTGTTTGCTCTCTTTCACTACAGCCTGCTGTTTGTATGGTCCTTTTACGTGTTCTGCACATGTTTTGGTCTAGCTTTGATCATTTTTACTTCTGACAGCAGAACTATGCTCGGATGAAAGATTATTACAGTTTCTTAGGATTTTGCAACGTGCAATACATGTGGAGGCTCTTATTTTTAATTTACTGTGTATATAGAAGGGTAACTGCCTCGATTTTACTGTTTTGTTTGTTAGTTAACATTCAGTTGTTTCACCTTCCATCTACATAGGAAAATGTCTTTCATTATTACTCAGAAACTTTTAAAAGTCTGAATTCTTTGAGGCCTGATCAAATATTGATCAAAGGCATCCTTCTGTTGGCAGTTCTTTGTCAACCCAGTGTAAACTAAGGATAGTGTGTCAGCTTCTCTAAGACACTGATTCAAGCATTTAAACACTTGATTAAAGTTAATTATGTGTTTAAGTGCTTGATTGAATCACGCTTTCATCCACAGAGCTTGTTTTGGACATTTGACAAACATTGTACAAGAAAGTAAACAGTCATGTGTGCATCCATTTTCCTTTGCTTTCTCTTCTGGTCCTAGTTTCCTTGGAGTGTTCAAATTGCTAATCACGTTACTTTATTCTTCTTTGTCTAAACATCTAGCTCCATTCTGTTATCATATTACAATTGATTCTAAGAATTACAAGTCATTTGGCAATTTAACTTCAAATTGCTAAGTCATCATCTGATAATACTTTATCAGAATTGACAAGAATATGCTCTTTCTTTATTTCTGACATTGAAACCGACAGAAAATAATTCATTTTGCTTTCCCATCACTTTGTGGGTTCTGGAGGGCAAATGGGAGTGGTATAAACTTATTGTTGTCACTAAAGTCAGCAGCTATGAGCCAGAATTAATGAGCCATTGTCATTTAAGCATAATTTTTCCAACCCTTTAAGTGGCCCCAATCTGGGGCAGCACACAATCTATTTTGCACCGCTCCATTGGTGCAAAGCATTCCTAAATCCAGTGGATCCAATCAATAGAGGGTCTCCCTTTCATAGGATTCTTGAGTTGCAGAGCCATAGTGGGTCCCTGTGATCTGTGACTAAGGGTACATCTACACTACGGGGGGAGTCGATTTAAGATACGCAAATTCAGCTACGTGAATAGTGTAGCTGAATTCGACGTATCGCAGCCGACTTACCCCGCTGTGAGGACGGCGGCAAAATCGACTTCTGCGGCTTTCTGTCGACGGCGCTTACTCCCACCTCCGCTGGTGGAGTAAGAGCGTCGATTCGGGGATCGATTGTCGCGTCCCGTCGGGACGCGATAAATCAATCCCCGAGAGGTCGATTTCTACCCGCCGATTCAGGCGGGTAGTGTAGACCTAGCCTAAGGTACTATCCTTCCCCTGTGATTGGGGACAACTAGCACAGAAGGGAATTGGGGGAATGGAATAGGTGACTTTGCACCCTCTTCCATCCCACAGCAGCGCCAAGTACTCCTTGATGGCAGCTGTGTGGCTGGACTGGTAAACCCTATTAGAGAAGCCTTTGTTAAACTAGCAACAGAGGGTTCTGTGGCAACTTTAAGACTAACAGAAGTATTGGAGCATAAGCTTTCGTGGGTGAATGCCCACTTCATTAGACGCCATTATTATTATTTGTTAAACTAATAAACTTCAAAATTATTGAAATATAAAATACTAGATCGAGATAAAAGATGCTTAATAGGATAACACTACCCATATCATGTACGTAGACATTAAACCTGCTACCAATTAAAAAACAAAAAGTGACCAAGTCTGTCTACTTGTTTTCCTGTACAAATTCAGACTGACAAGTTGTGTTTCTACAGTCTCAGCAGGTGCAGAGAGAAAGCAATCACAATGGTTTTTTATTCCATTGATAGTAAGACTTGAAAAGCTGCAGCATTTTTCTAGTGTGGAAATTATGTATATATATGTGGCGTGGGGAAGCATGCCATCCAACTAGTCTACAATCATTCTGGTTATATAAAAGCAATTAATCCCTTAAAGATTTTTTTTAAACTACTTAAAGACTGACACAGAGGTAGATTAATGCAAGAGCTTCAGATCTAGGCCCTGATCAAAAAGGACCCAGATGGAGCAATGAGGTAAGGCAGTGGTTCTCAACCAGGGGTACACACACCCCTGGGGGTATGCAAAGATCTTCCAGGGGATACATCAACTCATCTAGATATTTGCCTCGTTTTACAACAGGCTACATAAAAGCCACTAGCAAAGTCAGTACAAACTAAAATTTCATACAGACAATGATTTGTTTATACTGCTCTATATACTGTACATTTTAAATGTAAATACAGTATTTATATTCCCAATTGATCTATTTTATAATTCTATGGCAAAAACGAGAAAAGCAATTTTTCAATTAGAGAGTGCTGTGATGCTTTTGTATTTTATGTCTGATTTTGTAAGCAAGTAGTTTTTAAGTGAGGTGAAACTTGGGGTACGCAGGAGAGATCAGCCTCCTGAAAGGAGTACAGTAGTCTGGAAAGGTCGAGAGCCACAGAGGTAGGGTACCAGACCGCCATGCACAGCTGACTGATGTTGGCCAGCTGCCTTCTGAGGTAGGCTAAACTTCCTCTTTTGGGAGAAAGACAACTATTTGTCTAGAGGAGGGAGAGGTGCCTCAAAGTTGTTGTTTTTTCTTTTTTAGGGGGGAAGTGATTCTAATGGATTAGCATCCCTTTACCATTAATCCGTCCCTGACTATACAAGTTTGTATAAAATAGTAAGTGTGAATGGTGCTTTCCATGCTAGAAGAAAGATGAGGGCTTACAATCTACATAAATATGTAAGGAAAAGTATTTCTTCTGAAAGAAGGAATAATAAACACACTGACGTCATTCACCTGAGGTTAGGTTTCAACATTACAGACTGTCTGGGAGAAATTAAAGGGATGCACTCAAGGACTGCTTAGACTAACAATGTGTCACTCCAGATTTACACCATTGTTCCTGATACTGAATATTTTTAAAACACACTGGTTCATTTAAAGTTTTATCTGATAGGAAATCGCATAGGTGTATCATTTTGTATACTATAAATTAAATATCTCATTATGCTGTTCATATTTTTCAGCACAGGCTGCAATCTTTTTTTCTTTTCTTGTGGGGGAGCAAGCAAGGACAGATTGATGAAGGTGAAGATTTATTGACTTGGTCCACTGTTGAGGCACATCAATTTTTAGCTTGTTAATCTTGATGGTAACACGTGAAACAATTTATTTTGTTTTGGTTGATCCTTGTGTCAATTCTGGTACTGAGGAGTGCTGAATCCTGAGTAAGTATTTTTATAGAGAGAACTGATCTACCAATTTGTGCTGCTTGTGACAACACTGCTAGTGCTGAGAATCACAAGATTTGTATTAAATATTTATTTTAGCTACTATATTGGGATTTTTAGCCTATATTAATTCTTTCAGTTGGCATTTATCAGCAAATGCCCTTCCTG